AATATAAATCCTGGTCTATGTGGTGAAATGAAACCACTTCCATTGCTTTAAAGTTCGGTGTTGTTTTCAACATAGTGATTTAGACTCATGTCTAGGAATTTCTTAGTCTATGGAAAAACCATATTTCTTTAAGCTGTATTTAATAGCCCAGTTCAATATGACTTTGCGTAGCAAACAAAGCTGCCTAAGCTAGAGACTCCACTCTCCTCATGGTCTTCTTCACAGGATTCAAGAAGCCTACATAGACAAGTGGATTTTTGTTAATGTTAATGTTTATAACATTTTCACCTTTGTAATGGGATGGAGCTACAGAGAAAACATTTAGCTAAACATTTAAAAATAAATTTGAATAATAAAATTAATAAAAATTATATTTGTAATCTTTAAAGTATCTTTATAAAGAGGTAACTTTGCAACCAAGTTGAAACTATGACCTAGCTAACTTTTCAGCCACATACAGTTCTTTTTCTACTCCTAAGCATTATGAATTATTTGTATTTGCTAAGAATTTCCTATGTTCAACATCCTAAACTGGGCAGTTGATTTTTAAATTAAAAAATTATTTTATTGTAGTAAAAGCACTTAACACTGCTCTTTCTACACGTTTTTTTTTTTTTTTAAGTGGATAAAATGTTACTACCCATTACAGACATAGCTAATTCATCTTGCGAGCTGGAACTTTATGCCTGTGGGCTAGCAATCCCTCTTTTGACCTCAGAAACTAGCAACCACTTTTTTACTTCTTAAGCCTACGAGCATGACTATTTTAGGTAGTACTTGTGGAGTTATCTAGGACTTGGTCCCTACATCACCAACTCACTTCACTTAGCACAATGTCTTCAATGGTAATGTTAACTTTTCTGGAAAGTTTATATTAAAAGGTCCTGTGATTTTCTATGCTCAATATTGGAGTAGGCTAAATCTTAGAATGCCCAAATGGCTTCCCGAGGACAAGCAAATAGGAAATGGTTAAGTTGGAATTGGAACTCAGGTTCCTTGGCTGCTGACTTTTCTGCCCCCCCCCAAGTTTTGCCAGATCAACAACGGTGCTGTCTCTGAAGTCCTCTAAAACAGTTCCTTTAATGACACATAGAAACATAGATGAAGGTACCTCAGAGGCCCCTCTAGCTGCTTCATCACAACCTTCACTTTTGGTTTTAAGAAAAAGGGATTGTTATTTCTAACACTTTGGGGCCTTGACAATCACCCTGACCTGGTGTTTCTCCTTTAAAATGCTCCCTCACTCTTCTATAGTCCAAGCAAATACAATTGTGGGTAGCCTCTGCCCTGTGTCCCTATGGGGGCTCGAACATCCTCAAGTATTTGTGCATCGAGTGTAATAAATGTAAATCCTCTTTTCTCTATTACTATCTTTAACCTCATGCTTTCCAGTATTTTTCCTTTTTAACTTCTTGTGGGGCTTTCACAGCACCACTTTCACACAGAACTCAAGGAGAAATCCCAGCAGTAGGAAGAGGCTGGCATTATGCTCTCTCACTGTCCTGTGTGCCTAGGTAAAACACCACCCACTTGTAACACCATGATGCTGGGTGGGGATTCCAGCATTGTGCAGGTCTGCATTCCTCAGGCTTCTGGTCAGACTCTGATAGTGGTGACACAATGTTGAGAGGGGACAGCCATCCAGATGCCAGACTTGTTTGAGACATGGCAGCCTCACTCTTAATAATAGATAAGAGTTGCCATAGCATTTTCTTAGAAAAATGGAAGAGGTGTAGGTTCTAAGATACAAGCCTAGAAGCTCTAGAATAAGAATCTACTATGAGTCTTCAATGTCAATACCACCCTGTCCTTAAGGTAGACAAGACATTTGATTTCTGCTTGGGGGGTGAGACACAAACCCTAAAGACCCTATGCTAAGTGGTTGTGATTTCAACAGGATGCTATGAAAACATACCTAACACTAGGAATGGCTCATGAGGGGGCAGCCACTCAGCAGCCAAGGACGTTTTCTACTTATGTTATTATTGGGGGAAGGTTCCAAGGATCCATCAGGACTGCCATTTTGAAGCACAGAGGTGAGAATAGTCACTTAGTATCCTTGGGATTTTTTCTTTTGGGTAGATTTCAATTTCACTCAAGCCTGGGGCTATATTAAGGAACATGTGGATACATTCCATGTCTACAAGAAACCAAAGACTAAGAAGTGCATGGCCATAACTCTAGCTCAGTTATATTTCTATTTTTGATTATGTTCTGTTAGAAGCAGCTAATTTTAGACAATTGCTTCAAGTCTTCAGAGTATCAAGAGACTTTCCACAGGGACCTGCCTATCTGTGTTTGTCTTTCAGCATCTTCCAGTGAGCATGACATGGAGCAGTGTCCTGCAGGCCCAGGCTGGAACACACTGTGTCCTGGTGTCCTGGAGTGGAAACAGTTTGCTGTAGCAAACTTAGTTATGACCACACTCGTGAGAGATCCATCAGCTCAGAATGCAAGAGAAATGGACACAATGAGTAGAAAATAAGCAGGCTAAGTGTGAACTTCTGGAGATGAGAAACGAAGAGGCTGGCAGATGTGGGGCTAACATGGTGATTTGTGGATGGAATGCATGGAATGATCTTTGGGGAGAAAGAGAGAGAGAGAGAGAGAGAGAGAGAGAGAGAGAGAGAGAATGCTATAATTTCAGGATAGTGGGGACTTGAAGGGTGCAGAAGAGTGGTATGTTTAGGTCCTTGAGTAACGCAGCCAGCCAGAGAAAGACAAGCACCAAACAGAAGCAATGCTGCCATGATACTGGTTATCTGCTGGTTGTTTTCCTCTCCAGTAGAAAGCTGTCATTTAAGGATTAAGGGAGCATTTTCTCAGAAAAAGACCTTTTAAATCTTAGTTCCCTACCAAGGCTCATTCACTCCTCTCCCTTTGCATAGAGAATAAAATCTCTATGCATTTCAAGCTTTATATGGCATCCATGCACAGTCCCTCTGGTCACTCAGGTCCAGCCACACTGGCCTCCCCTGAGCTGCTATCATCCCTTTCTGGTGAGTGTTTTGGCTCTGTGAGGTCTAGACCTCTGTGGACCCTCAACACCAATGGCACATTTCCCAAGAAGCCTCTGAAATCAGTTGCGCCAAGCTTTTAGTAGGTGGCCTTCCATGACAAAAACATGTCTTTTACAGGAAGAGTCCAAGTTGCTTGCTGTCTGCTGCCTGTCACAAGGCTACCTCCACATTCTCAAGAAAATTTGCCAACATATCCATGAATTAGTGAACAGTAACAAAAAAAGATGGAGCCTGGCTGACACACAGTGTATTCTTGGAATTATAATTACCTGTTTGTTGCTTTAGATTTATAATATGGCACAAGATGATAACATGGAAAAACAGATGTTTCCATTTAAGGGGCCCTTCTTTGCCTCACCATAAATAAACTGGAAAAGCACTAGATTTTTATACATAGTGCCACGTGCTCTAGGAAGTAGGCTGTGAATTTCCTGTAGTTGTGGAGAAGGCTATGTAGCGAATTCTTGCACACACACAGCACTTCAGCATCCTCTCTCTGACCCATGGAGACCGATTGAAACTTTCTTTCCATTTGTGTACACACCATAGAGAACCATACATAAAAAGATATTCAACAGCTCCAGCAAAATTCCTACTGCTAAAGAGAAGAAAAATGTCCAAGTAAGCAGTAAAAAAAAATGTGCTTGGTTTCTTAAATGTAGAAATGGCAATTTGCAGCATTCATACAAATTGCCATGTTCTGAGGGCTGCAGCTCGGAGACTGAACAGGGAGCAAAACTGCAGCTACCAGCAACTCTGGTGACGCATGCTTTGGAAGTGAAGGCTTAGTCAGTCCTGTGGCACCACTGAGGCAATCTACATGTCATTAGCCAGAGGGCCTTGTATCAGTCTGACATGTCCCATGTTGATTTTCTGTCATGGAAAGTCACTCCAGCTAAATTCTCTTATACTTGGGACATATGAATTTGCTAACATTAGTGTGGTTAATGGTGAGATGGATCCTACAGGGGCTTCCTTAAAGTCTTCTTAGCATTCTCTGAATTCTGCATGCATACTCAAGTTTGAGTTCAGTTGAATATACAAATAAATTTAAAAGGAATTAGACAAATTAGGAAATGGGGAACTGGAATGACACAGTAAGACAGAAAAATTAATTTGGAAACATGAACAGTAAGTTTCCTACAACACCATTGCTTTGATGTGAAGTGAAGGCTGGAGCAGAACAATACTGTTCTGATGTCTCTCTGCATCTATAGTTTCTTTTCTCCTCCCTACATCATTGTGTGCTTTCATTGATAAAAACCCAATGTATGTACTTGTTAAAGGGTAGTTAGAACAGAAATGGATATTTGTGGATGAAAAAGAAAGCTCGTTCAGTGGACAAATGCATTGCAGTCCAGAGGCTATGGCCATGATGAGCAAAATACTAGCAATCTGAATTTGACAAGTTGCTGTGAGTCCATCTAGATGGAGTCATGCTGCTTGTCCATAGTCACCTTCCTGAGAGTTCTATGGAAGGAAATTCATTTTTAGTAACATGCAACCAAGCAGAGTCAACTCTCTGGTATGCATAATCAGCAAGGACTACATAAAATATTCTGAAGCACACAGTAGTTTTTGGTATACCCATTTTGAAAACAGAATGATGGGACTTTGTATCCTGGTTCCAATATAATGAGATTAGAAACTGAAGTGGGTGGCAGCTCTCAGGAGAGGTCCACACAGTGGAAGGAAGATATGGGTTAGAGTGGGCATCTCTCAAGTAAGAATGTGCTGTGTTTAACTGCAAAACCAACAATCCACAGGTAGATGGTGTCTATCAAAGGCACGAAACAGATCTTGTCTTCCAGGGATGAACATATTTCTACAAGACACAGGTTTGTTTAGGTTGCACTTTTTTTTTCTAACAAAGAAAATGGTGTAGAAATGCTAACATGATCATTTATGCTTTTAAATGACTATTAGAGTCTGCATGGAGATGACCACAGTCTGTCACAGTGTCACACAATCACATGTTACCTTGGATACGAGGCTGGCTCTGTATGCTGCTAGCTGTTTCAGGTACTCCTTCTTTGCAGCCTCGGTTTTCTTCTTATAAACCTGTGACAGCAACATAATGTCTTAAATTAGACTGTGTATCTGCTTTTGTTTCGAGGACAGACAATACAGAATGGAAACTGTACACACATACAGATAATTTTATAATAATAGATAGCTCCCAAAGAGTGTGTTTTCTTCCCAAAACAGGTTTGAAAGAAGAAGAAAAATAGACTCCGTAAGAAAAGAATCCACAATTGTAAAGTTTTGCATTTTTCAGAATGGGTTTGAAATGATTGGTGAGCATGGAAATAAATGGCAGCATTGATGAAGGCTTCCTGAAGAGAATCACCCAGGAATTCATATTTATACAGCAGGCAGTAATTCAACAGCATCATAATATTCTAACATTTGTGCTCTGTGCCAACTAAACACAAAACCAAAATGGGTATCAAGAATGATCCAACATATTCAGTAAGGAAACCAACAGGCAGGTTTTGGCAGTTGTGGGTTCGTCACAATTTTAAGAGCCTTCAAGTTGTATTTCTAAGGATTTGGGAGTCAGGAGCAGTAGGCAAGGGTACAGTGGGACAGGAATGGGATGGTGAGTGTCTAGGGACACAACCTGCCATGCCACATGACCTGCAAATCATGTATTTTCCAACAGAAACATGGATGACAGCTGTGGGAACCTTGTGAATAAACAGATACCCACAGAGGCTTGAAAACCAATGTAAAAGCAGCAGAAATTGAGACCCGAGAAGTGGCCAGCTCCTGTGTGCCAGAAGTCACTGTGTGCTGCTTTGGGGGTACGGAGGGGCTCATCTTCTTCCCCGAAGCTGAGTTTCCAAGGTTCCAAAGTTCTGCAATCTTTTAAAATCAGTCCAAATGAACAAAATACTCTTCAATATCTACTGTGGAAATGGAAATGTATTCCCCCTATTGTGACTGTTAATCAGACTCAAGTTAATATTGAGAAGTTGTGTAGAATCTGTTTGGGCAGTTAAATAAAGACTGTGTCTACGACCAGGCAGCCAGCAGTAGAGGAAAATCTTTATGTTCTAGAGACAGAGGTTTGCTGTATCCTGACTCTGAAATTGATATGTAAGAAATATTATTTACTCATGAATATTTGAACTCCAGCAGAACCTTTTGCCCAGGTAAACAAATGACTACCCTTGCAATTGAATTCTAACAGGACCTATGAAATGAATGTGATTACTCAGCTTTAGGAGGCCTGCAGCTTTGACTTTCACATCTACAATTTTATAGAGTAAAAACTAATTAAAGCAAAGATACATTAGTCAGTGCAATATTGCCATTTGATCATCCTACCCTCTTCACTAAACAAGAAACCAAAGAAAATTAGATATCTTGTTTAGGAGTCCTCTTAGGGTTCGTAATACAAAAGTTAATGTATCCTTTGACAGGAGTGTCAGAGATTGGCAGGACTATTGCAGAATTCAAATCCAGAATCTTCTGTGGAAATTTTCATGTGCATACAAATGACACTAAAGAATTTGAACATTATGACCCCACTTGGCCCAGCCACAATGAGAAATAGAGCACTTCTGATCTTTATTGATTTATTCCTTTTTTGTCCTCCTACTAGTTTTTCCTTAAGTCCATTTCTTTATGACATAATTTGTAAATAATGACTTTAAGCACACTCTTTCTTCTTATTACCTTAAAGTGGTTCTGAGGGGCTGGAGTGGTAGCTCAGTGGAAAGAGTGCTTGCATACAAGTGTGAGGGCTTGCTTTTGAGTGCCAGGACCCATGCAAGTCTCTCAGCATGACTGCGCATGTCTGTGACCCCAGCAACATGGGTAGGCACAGGGAGATCCTGAGAGCACAGCTTTCTGGCCAGCTGCTCTAGCAGAAATGGCACACTTCTGTTCAAAAGGAGACCTTGTCTCAAGGCAATAAGGCAGACAGCAATAGAGGAAGAGACCCAGAGTCCTTTTCTGATTTCTGAATGCATGCATAGAGGCATATGTGCCTACACACTCATGTGCATGCATGCATGCATACACACACACAGACACTCATACACACACAGACACACACAGACCACATACACATACACACAGACACACAGATATACATGCAGACACACAGACATACACACAGACACACATACATACACACACACAAACACACAGATACACACAGACACACACAGATACACACACAGACATACACACACACAGACACTCACAGGTACATACACACACAGACACACACTGTAGTTTTGAGAACTATTTCCTCCCATACACATAGACATCTTAGAAAAATTTGAAGAAAATATTTAGTAAACAAATCTTTGACACTTCTAAGTGTCCTAAATAATTACATCATGATTTGAATTAATATGCTATGCTGTGCCTACTTAGACTTCATTTAGCTTTTAGAGAGATTGTAATATATGTAGGTCTCTAGCCTTGCCCCAAATATTTCCTGAGCAGCAAAGGGTAAGATGGCATGATTCTAGCATTTCCTTTTTCTTTCATTTGGTTTTTATTTGGAACCACAACAGCATAAACATGAGGTTACCCTTTGTGGGGCTGCTGGCAGCTAACATTACACAAAGTGTTAACATTCCTGCAATATGTTGATTAACAACCCAGACAGAGAGTCTTGTAACTCCTGCACTTCAGACTGAACATACGGCCTGGTTCCACCCAGGATCAATGCTGTTTAGGGATACCTGACTAGCATTCAGAGATCCCTGTTTCACAAATGGCTCCCCATTGGCTATTGATGATCGGCTATGTTGGGATCATTGTGTAAGTGCCTAAACACCACTTTAGGGAAGTGTAAACTCATCACTTCACATTATGTGAATTGATGGGTCCTCATGCTCCCAAATAGCTGCAGATGTGCAGGGGGAGAATTCAAAGGGGCTCATTTTGGGATGTATATTTCTGTAATTGTGTTTAAAGGAGGGTAGCCCAGATCAGAGTGGAAGTCTGAGGTTGTCTACCCAGTGATAATTAGACTTTCCACCTTTGAGAACTGCCTAATGGTTCAATACTACACACTGTGCGTGCCTCTCTGATGCTTCTCTCTAAAACTGGCCTAGGGTGCTGTTCAAATCCTATATTAATGGAAATGTCCAAAGACCTGAAACCCAAGAGAGCAATACTTACATGTGAGGATACCATATGTAAAGAAAGTAGGGGAAACTCTTACTCTAGGACATACATTTCAAGATAACTGCTAAAAAGTTCCTAAAAGATGTTTCAAAACTTCAAGTTATGGATGAAGAAAGCCCTTCATTTGCAGAAACTAAAGGGGTTGTGGGATTGCATTCAGCAGTGAGCAGTTACTTCAGTGATCAAGTGCACCAGCCTGACCTCCTGACTTGTGGGGATGGAGCTGATTTATGTCAAAGTTAAGTTTGGGAAAGACATAGTTTCTCTCAGGAAAGACAAATATTTTAAAGGTATGTGATTCATACAGTAAATATTAGTGTTCTGCTGAGTTACAAAATGGCTTCCAAATGGGCCACAGCTGTTTGAAATAAAGTCCGAAAATGGCCAGAAGTGGATTTAAAAATCATAATACATCATTTATCATTTCCCCAATTCATGCAAACACTTTTGAATTCATCTGCCTTAACATAGTTATACGCTGTGGTTTGTTATTCCAAGAAAGCCACCATTTCCTATCTGAGGATTGCATCTCGTTGGTTAAACTAAAACACATATAACAGCTAACCGGAAACACACATAGATAGACATCAGACAGCAACTCTGGAGAAGCCAGATCCTGCTCATATGATCCTGCTATCTACCCAATGCTCTGAATACCACTGAGTCCATGTGTTTTTACAGGCTGATAATCCCTAATTAAAATTGGCAGTCCAATGTTAGTGAATGTGACACACTTAAACAGAAAAAAAGCTCTTTCACAAACAATCCACCCAGTTAATGGAGAAAAGCAAGCTCTTATAAATACCAGCTAATTCCCTCTTCCTTCTTCTTCTGGCTCGGGCTTGTAACCTCTAGTCAGTTTACTTCAATAGTTGTTACAATCATTAAAAAAAAAGGAGCAAAATCCTTCTTACTTTGAATTCTATTCAAACCCCATTTAAAAATTGACAAGGTGTTTTCCTTCGTGGATGAGTGCAAATGTCTTTTTTCCCCACTACCATTTCTTATTTGTAGAAAATGCTTAGCAACAGAATAATGTATAAAGAATTATTTCATCACAATTCCAGAGACACATCTTTAGAAACTTCACATGTATTCCCCCTTTCAGGGGTGCCATTGTTTAGGTCAATCAAAGAAAATGCATCAGTATGTTATACACAGCTTGGTCCTTAAATATGGTCACCTATCCATTTTGTCTAACTGACTTACATTTTCTTCAGGATACCCTAACCGGAAAGACTTCATAAGGTAGTGTGCAGAGGATCAAAAACATTACAGAATGTGACAAAAATTTTGCTCTTAATTCATTTTGAAGACCATCTGATATACCTGAAGGGTCTTGGTCATGTTGGTGCCACTGTTCCTGGCTGGTAGGGACCAGAAACTAGCAGCTTGGCTTTAGAGATGGCTATGTAACATACCTGCTTATGTATTAAATGAAGATGACTAGCTGAATATCATGTTGTTCAATTACTCTTAACCAATAGACTGGCTCCAATGTGCCTAATGTATTTTGAAGCATGAAGGGTACAGAAACAAAATAGCAATTTATATTTTGCTTTGGTTACGTTTCTTTTGTAGTTGTCACCAGGCACTTTCTTTTATACAACATCTCTAGTTCCTTGAACAAGAATATTGCCTTGGTATTATTATCCCTATTTTACAAACAGGAAACATAGACACAATATACAGTGAAATATGGCACAATCGGGAGTGGAAACAAAGTAATCCGGGAACAGTCCTTTGTGTTTGCTCATTGTCTCCCTCTAGCTGTGAAAATACCCTCAGGTGCCCCTAAATTAGAAATTCTCATGGCAGAAGTCCAGCTCGCAGGACAGTACTGGGTACATAATAGGTGCTCAGGAAACACAGTCAGACATCAGCAAATGATAGAGCAGGATTCTGAG